CCCCAAAACCCCAAAACCCCAAAACCCCTCAAGTTAAAGTAATTTTAAATCTGAAAATTTTATATTGCTTAATTACACATAATATATATTTATATTCATTTCATTCATGAAAATTATTCATTATAAAGTTCAAAATATTGAGCAGTTTTTGTAATGGCATTATCTGGCGCAACCAGACTCCCCTCCAAGTCCATCCTTTATTATTCCTTTTTTGGGATTATTTCTTTTTAGACTTGGAACTGCTTCCAAAGGTATTTATTTGTCTAGCTCAATAATTCTATCTACTATTGATAACTCTTCCTTAGCTGTTTCATTTTCTTTATCTAATTTTAAAGCTTTCTTAAACTTATGTTTAGCACTAACATAATTTCCTACTGTTCTTAATATTAAGCCCCAAATAATCCAATTTTCTGGATCAATGGGATTCTTTTATACTCCTTTTTTTATCTTTTTTATTGCTTTGGCGAATTCCCCTTTTTTAAACAAAGCAAAAGCCCAGTGGCGGTGACAATTATGATTTGTTGGGTTATTCATTTTAGCTTGGCCACAGACTTATATCGTCTCTGAATAGAATTAATGCATGTTAAAGAGAAATGCTAGATTATTGTAAGCATATATGTGACTTTCATCTAGCTTCGTACACTTCTTCAAATGGTCCACACATTAGTTATATTATTCTAACTTAAAATAAGCTAGACCAAGGTTATATTAGAGTTATGCATCATCTGAATTAATTTCCTCTGCTTTTTAAAATGCTCTTATAGCATTTTCATAATCTCCTTGTTTATACAAGCTTACTCCAAGGTAAAACAAGCCCTTGAATGTTGTTCCATGTGTCTCCTCAAGATATTTAGAAGCAAGTTCGTCAAGAGATTGCCAGTCCTCTATTTTCAGTAATCTGAGACATCTGTTTTCAAACTCTCTCTCTGTTTTCTGTTTTCTCACCTATCCTTCCAAGTTTTCACCTGATCTTACAGAGTCTCTACTCTTAGAACCAGTCCTTGCCTTGCCAAATAAGTTTTAAACTTTCAATTTTTGCTTATCTGGGCTATCTTAAACATTAATTGAAACTCCTGGTGGTGCATCAGAGCCTCTATCAACATTTCTTTAACTTTTTCTAATGCTTATACCTCCAAGAGCTTTAGGGTTAATTTCTTCATTTTACATTTACCTAATTGAATTCGTACTAAGTCTAAATTATTCTCCCAATTGATTTTAAAGTACATTGCTAATATCTTGCTCTTCATAATGAACTGTGTTATCATCTTCATTAGCATCTTCTTTATCAAATATCTGGCTGTAAAGTTCATTTTGTCTGTTGTTGAGTAAATGATCTGTTTCCATTAAAATTTTAATTCGAGCAATTATTTAGGTTTTTAATTAAACGTAATGAAAATAAAATTAATCGAAATTATTTCTTAAGTTAAGACCATTCAACATTTATAATGTCTCTTACCAATGAATATTAAAACTCTGAATATTAGCTATATTGAAAACTTTTGGGGTTTTGGGGTTTTGGGG